ACTTAACGACTGAGCCACCCAGGCGCCCTACTAAATCCATTTTTATATATTTATCAATATTATGTGAATATATATAAAGGATATATATATCCTATTGATTCTGCATCTGTGCTTGAACCCTGACTAATAGAGTATTCTTCCTATAACCAATCACTACGTAAATCCTAAGATTCTGCTGCTTTAAAAGTTTCTGTCTTTTGGTCCTTCCTCTCTGTTCTTGTGCATCTGGGTTCATGTGCATCATGAGCCCCATCTCTTCTTACCTGGATTACTGAAATTCCCGTCCAGCTGATGTCTCTGCATCCTCTGAGGTCCTACCACACCGAGTTTATTTTCATGTCATTGCCTAGAGTTTTCTTTCTAAATGACACATCTGATCTTGTCACTCTGCCTAAAATCTTTTAATGGCTTCCCGAAATTCTCAGGCAAAAAATCAAAACCCTTAGCTTTTTTTTTAAAGATTTTATTTTTTTTATTATGTTTTTAAAGATTTATTTGTTAGAGAGTGTGCATGCATGGGCAGGAGAGGGAACAGAGAGGGAGAGAGAGAATCTCAAGCATACTCCCTGCTGAGCATGGAGCTGGACATGGGGCTCGATCTCACAACCCTGAGATCATGACCTGAGCTGAAACCGAGTTGGACGCTTAACCGACTGAGCCACCTAGGCACCCCTTTCCTTGATTTTCTTTGTCTTTATTTTCTGCAGTTTGAAATATAATATAATATGATTAGATGTAGATTAAAAAATTTAATTCCAGTATAGTTAGCATATGGTGTTATATTAGTTTCAGGTGTAAAATATAGTGATTCAACAATTCTATACATTTCTCAGTGCTCATCATGATAAGTGTACTATTAATCCCCTTTACCTGTTTCACCCATCCCCCTGCCCACCTCCCCTCTGGTAACCATCAGTTTGTTGTCTATAATTGAGTCTGTTTTTTTTTTTTTTTAAGATTTTATTTATTTATTTGAGAGACAGAGAGAGTGGGTGCACAAGCGGGGAGAGGGGCAGAGGGAGAGGGAGAAGCAGACTCACTGCTGAGCAGAGAGCCAGACGCAGGGCTTGATTCCAGGACCCTGGGATCATGGCCTGAGCCGAAGGCAGATGCTTAAATGACTGAAGCACCCAGGCGCCCCAAGTCTGTTTTTTTGTTTATCTTTTTTTCTTTGTTCGTTTGTTTTGTTTTTTAAATTCCACATATGGGTGGACTCATATGGTATTTGTCTTTCTCTGACTGACTTGGTTCACTTAGCATTGTATTCTCTAGATCCATCTATGTTGTTGCAAATGGCAAGATTTCATTGTACGTATATGCTACATCCTTTTTTTTTTTTTTAAAGATTTTATTTATTTATTTGACACAGATAGAGAGAGCACAAGCAGGGGGAGCGGCAGGCAGAGGGAGAAGCAGGCTCCCCGCCGAGCAGGGAGCCCGATGCGGGACTCGATCCCAGGACCCTGGGGTCATGACCTGAGCTGAAGGCAGACGCTTAACCGACTGAGCCACCCAGGTGCCCCCATGCCACGTCCTTTTTATCCATTCATCTATCCATGGATACTTGTGCTGCTTCCATATTTTGGCTATTGTAAATAATGCTGCAGTAAACATAGGGGTGCATATATCTTCTTGAGTTAGTGTTTTCATATTCTTTAGGTAAATACCCAGTAGTGGAATTACTGGATCATACGGTAATTCTGTTTTTAATTTTTTGAGAAACCTCCATACTGTTTTCCACAGCGACTGTACCAGTTTGCATTCCCATCTAGGTGTAGATTTTTTGGTAGTTATCCTTCTTGGTGTTCTCTGAGCCTTCTGGACTTTGGGTTTGGTGTCTGATTTTTTTTATTTTCTATTTTTTAATTTATTTTTAAGATTTTATTTATTTATTTGACAGAGAGAGACACAGTGAGAGTGGAAACACAAGCAGAGGGAGTGTGAGAGGGAGAAGCAGGCTTCCCGTGGAGCAGGGAGCCTGATGTAGGGCTCGATCCCAGGACCCAGGGATCATGACCTGAGCCGAAGGCAGACGCTTAACGACTGAGCCACCCAGGCGCCCCTTGTCGTTAGTTTTAGAAAATTCTCAGTCATTATTGCTTTAAATATTTCTTCTGTTCCCTTTCCTCTTCTTCTGGCATTCCCATTATGTACATGTTACACCTAATATAATTGCCCCAAGGTTCTTGGGTTTTCTATTCTGTTTTTTTTTCATTTTTCTTTACTTTTCAGTCTGGGAATTTTCTATTGACACATATTTAAGCTCATGGAACTTTTTCTTTGGCCATGTCCAGTCTACTGATGAACCCATCAAAGGCATTCTTCATTTCTGTTACAGAAATTGTTTTTAAGACCTTATCTATTTTTTATTTGAGAGAGAGAGAGAGAGAGAATGAGCATGAGCAGGGGGAGGGACAGAGGGAGAGGCACAAGCAGACTCCCCGCCAAGCACAGAGCCCAACATGGAGCTTGATCCCAGGACCCTGAGATCATTACCTGAGCCAAAGTCAGATGCTTAACTGACAGAGCCACCCAGGCGCCCCCAGAATTTTTTTTTTTTAATTTCCAGCGTTTCCTTTTGATTCTTCTTAGAGATTCTATCTCTGCTTACATTATCCATCTGTTCTAGCATGTTGTCCACTTTCCCATTGGAGTCCTTAGCAAATTGATCATAGTTATTTAAATTCCTGTTCTGATAATTCCAAAATCTCTGCCATCTGGTTCTGACACTTGCGCTCTCTTCAAACTATGTTTTTGCCATTTAGTATGCCTTGTAATCTTTTGTTGAAAGCCAGATGTGTGTGCAATTTTACCTTTATCTGGGGAGATGTTAGTTGTATTTACTGTTTGCTGAAGCTGTAGGTGTCAGAGTTAACATTTTCTTTGGTGTCCTCGTTTTTGTCTCTCCTGTTGTCTTTGGGTTTCTAGAGACTTCTTAATAAGGTCTGAAACTTGCAATTCTTTCTGTTGTTCAGTTCTCCGTGTTACCACATAGAAGCAATGTACCACCTGCAGTGGTCAAGTGTGAGGGAGGAGAGAGTGTTCTATAGTCCTGTGATTAGTTCTCAGTCTCTGAGTGAGCCTGTGCCCCTGAACCTTCAAAAGTGCTTCTCAGGCTTTCTCGTCCACTTCAAATGAGATAGGAAGGTTGGAAAGGGCTGGTCTTGGGTATTTACCTTTTCCCAAGTCATTTAGGTTCTAGTAAAACCCAAAATGGTTAGGCTCTGGTAAAACAGGCTCTTTTGAGGGTGGGTCTTGTTAGGAAGAACAGAGGGCTCTGGGTGTACTTCAAAATGACTATTTTTCCCATCTCCCTGTTAGAAGTACTAGGGGATTTTTCTCTCATCTTCACCCTGAGAGCCTGGTGGCCTCTTGAAGGTGAACTCAAAAGTGCGCGCCCACACTCAAGGTTGAATCCCCTTGGAATATTTAATTTGCAAGCTTTTCACACTGAGCTTCCAGATATTTGTCAATTACAGTTTAAATTTTCCAATGGTACTTGCCCAGTGGAAGGCTTCTTTTCCCAGTAAGCTGTCATTCTCTGTACTTGTATGTCTCTCCAGGCTTGGGGGCTGTGGTTTGCCCTGTGACCTCTGTTCACTGATGGGTCTAAGAAGAGTTGTTGATTTTTAGTTTGTTCAGCTTTTTTTCTTGTTGCAAGGACAGCAGTGACAGTTTTCAAGCTCCTTACATGTCCGACCTGCTTTAGTTTTTCAAGACATGGATTCCAGAACCCAGTTAGAGGCAAGAGTTCTCAAGTAAGTCAGGCAGAATTAAAATCCTGGCTTTGTCACTGGCTAATGCTTGTGTGACTTGGTAAAGTTATTTATCTGTGCCTTGGTTTTCTCATCCATAAAATGGGGTTAAAGGGTATTTATTTTATAGCACTGATGCAAAGATGAATTCAGAAAATGCACATCAAGCCCCAAGCAAAATGTATAGCATAGAATCAAAGCTCAGTAAGTGTTAACTATGATCATCATTATCTGGTCCCCATGAACCCTGTGTATGGTCAATGCTGGCTCTTCTTTTTTTTGGCCTGGGACACCTCTATCTATCTACCTTCTACCCACCCTTCAAAACATTGTTTATTTTTTGTTTTCACAAAGCATTTTCAGAACCCCTCATCCGTTTTAGATAAGGGGACTGTATAATTTATCATCCAAATCAGGACACTTTTGAGAGTGGAAGGGGGTGCTATTAATAATTACCCCAGGACAGCAGACCCAGGGAAACTGGGAGATCTGGTCATCTCACTTTTAGATGTCTCTTCTCTGGTTTTCCACTGCCTCCAGTGCATGTCCACATCACTGTTCACGCTGCTGTTCTTGTTGCGGCACTTGTCTTTTACCCCCCATTCTGTAACTCCCTGAGGGCAGGCGTGGTGCCTCACTCACCGCCATGGCCTGGGATCTCTCACAGGGCCGCGTGCACATTCGCACACACACACACACACACACACACACACACACCGAAATGATGAGTGTGATCCTGCCTTGTTCATTTCCACCTTTCTCTGTAATTGTTTCTACCTCGGATGTGATCCATGCCTCCTGCCTCCTTCAGATAAATAAATCTATCTCCTACGGCTCACATTCTATCTCTTCTGGGCAGCCCCCTTTTCTTACTGTGCTCCCCCATCTCTGCTTTCTCTCGTCTCCTGGACTTACTCTTTGCTGTGTGTATTCTCTTCTGTTCCACGGGTGGGCTCTTCTTCCCCAGTTACACTCAGCTCGCCAAGGACAGGCACTGTGTTGTCCCTTTTTCCGGGTCTCCCACAGCGTGATCAAGCACAGGGCTGGCTGCCAGCAGGTACGCAGGAAACCCATCTTGGTGTCTGGTTGCTCAGGCCGCTGCCCATTCACTGGGGCCTTCCCAAGCCTGGTCAAATGATGCCAGTGCCTGCTGAAAGCGAGCATCCTACAGCCATGAGGGGTGCTCAGGGCGTCAGGGCAGACTTGGTTTGGGGGACCGTCCTCATTTTCCCTCTGTTTGTTAAGTCCACAGCTTTGTGTGGGAGCAAGATGGAGGCTGATCTGTCTGGCTTTAATATCGATGCCCCCCGTTGGGACCAGTGCACTTTCCCGGGACGGGTGAAACACTTCTTCAATATCACAGACCCGCGCACCATCCTGGTCCCAGAGCGGGAGCTGGACTGGGCCAAGGGGATGGTGGAGAAGAGCAGGTGAGCAGCGAGAGGAAGGGACTGGAGGCGGTGGGGCCACATGGGTGGGTCCCCTGGGGAGGAGGTGGGAACTTATTGTGGGGAATGGGCAGAGCTCTCAGGCAGGAGGGAGCAGGATGACTTGGAGCAAGGGGCCTGGGACATAACTCTCTGTTGTCCTGGGGTGGCAGAATGGGGGTCGTGCCCCCGGGCACCCAAGTGGAGCAGCTGCTGTACGCCAAGAAGCTGTATGACTCAGCCTTCCACCCTGACACCGGGGAGAAGATGAACGTCATTGGGCGGATGTCCTTCCAGGTCCCCGGCGGCATGATCATCACAGGCTTCATGCTCCAGTTCTACAGGTAGAGCCAGGGGGAAGGCGGTGGGCAGTGTGGCCGCTTAGGTCTGCCAGGCACGGAGCCCTATGGTGATGTGGTAATAACCATCTTTATTGACCCCTTACCCAGGACCAGGCACTGTGCTAAATTCTTTGCATGGATTTAATCTCCTCATCAACCCTACGGAGGTACTATTGTCATCTCCATTTTATAGGTGAAGAACTGAGGTTCTAGAGATGTTATGTAACCTGCCCAGGTCCACACAGCCAGGAAATATGGGTGCCTGGAGGTTAACTGAGGCAGTTGTCTCCAGAACTCTCAATGAATAAGCCATCCTAATTCCTTTTTTAGAAAGTACTTATTCAACAATGAAATTTTCATGTATTTTTATTTTTAAATCTATTTTATTTATTTGTTTTTCGCAGAGAGAGAGAGAGAGAGAGAGAGAAAGAGAGTACACGAGTGGGGGAGGGGGTGTGGCAGCGGGGAGGGGCAGAGGGAGAGGGAGAGAGAAAATCCCAAGCAGGCTCCACACCCAGCACAGAGCCCAATCTGGGGACTCGATCTCACGACCCTGAGATCCTGAGCTGAGCCAAAATCAAGAATCAGACACTTAACCGACTGAGCCGGTCAGGTGCCCCTAATGTATTTTTATTATGTAACATCCTAGTAAAAAATACAGGAAGATGACCTCCCATCCCACCCCACTCCCCAGCTACCCCTAAAATAGAAAGACCCTTTCAGCTTAGCAGGGAGAGAATAAACTTTCTCTGTAGCTGCTGGATATTTTACTCTTCCCCCTTCCTGTCTTCTCTGCTCCCCTCCCCCATGCATCCATTTGTCCAGTTATTGAGCCAGACCTCGGGCCAGGTGTTGGGAATATAAAGACTAAGCCCCTCCCTTCAAGGAACTTCCAGTTTTGTTGAGCAGACCAACCAGTAAGCAGTTGTAGTCCAGCTTGCTAAGTGGTAAGTGGAGGGAAAGTATGGGGTTGTGAGAGCAGGGAGCAGAGAATGACTCACTGTTCCAGGAAGGGCAGGGGAAGGGTTAGGAAGGTTCCAAAGAAGAAGTGACTTCTCAAGAGAGCAGGATTTAGCCATGTATGGAAGGATGTGGATGTGTAGATATTCCAGGCAGAGTGACCGGCCTGTGCAAAATCCCCAGTGTATGAAACAGCATGGGAACAGTTTGGGGAACATCAGGCCGTCTGGTTTGACTGGTGTGCCCCAAGCCGTCCCTTCATTGGACTCTTCTCTGCCTCTCTGGGCCTCCCTTATGGTAGGACGATGCCAGCGGTGATCTTCTGGCAGTGGGTGAACCAGTCCTTCAATGCCTTAGTCAACTATACCAACAGGAATGCAGCTTCCCCCACGTCTGTCAGGTAGGAGACTTGAACCCCAGGCTGTCTATGTGGCTCTGGAGCAGGTGGCCTTCCTCTTGCCTCCAGGGGAATCACCCTTCTAAAGGGTTCTTGGGCTGTCTTCTCTGGGTGAGACTTGTATGGTGCTGGTGACCAAGTCCCCCTTTTTAGGGTTTGCAAGTCTTTTCTGAGGCTAACTAGGACAATTTCATCCTAGACCAATTCGAAGTTTATTCATTCATTCGTTCTCAAGTATTTCTTCTTTTTTTTAAGATTTTATTTATTTGAGAGAGATTGAGCACACATGAGCAGGGTGCGGGGGAGCAGAGGCAGAGGGAGAAACAGGTTCCCTGCTGAGCAGAGACCCTGATGCCGGGCTCAATCCCAGGACCCCGAGATCATAACCTGAACCGAAGGCAGATGCTTAACTGACTGAGCCACCCAGGCACCCCTCAGCTATTTCCTGAGTAGGTATTAAGTGCCAGGCATGGTTCTAGGGTATCTTGTCCTTGTGGAATTTAAGGTCTTTTAAGCAAACAAGCACCATAATCTTAGGTTGCGACTGCTACCCTTAAGGAAACAAACAGGTGACAAGATAGCAAAAAGCAGAGGGGCATCTGTGTGGATGGGCTGGTTGGGGAAGTCTTTTTCTGTGGAGCCCACCTTTCAGCTGATTTCTGAAGGGTAAGGATTTAGCCTACGGAAGAATTCCCCTGATAGGGAGCAGCAACAGGGCAAGGTTCTGATGCAGAAAAGAGTTTGGTGTGTTTAAAGTACTGAAAGGAGGTCGAAGGGGCTGGAGCATTGTGTGTGTGTTTAGGAGGGGGACTGTCACAAGATGAGACAGGTGAAGTTTCAGGCATGAAGCCTCATCAAAGCCTCATTTCCGGACTTTCTCAATCAAGCCATGGTCTTGCCCTCAGCCGGCAGGGCTCCCCACTCCCAAGTGTGTCTCTCCTCCACTAGGCAGATGGCCCTTTCCTACATCACAGCCACAACCACTGCGGTGGCCACTGCTGTGGGCATGAACATGTTGACGAAGGTACTGTCTGGGGCTGCTGTGGGCATGGTGGCCACTAGGGGGCAGCAAAGTCCTAGGGAAAACATCCCCCAGGCCTGGCGTTGCCCTTGTTTGGGTGAGTCGGGTATGGCCACGGCCCAGCCAACTAGGGGGAAGTGTAGCAGAGCTATCCCCAGGTTAGTCTTTCTCAGGTCTCTGAGGGAATTTGGGTTCTTAGACCAAGTGTCTGGATACGTAGCAGTAGCGAGATCTGATTTCTTATTTTGTAGTTCTTAAGCCCCCTCCCCTCCCATCTTCCAGTGAGCCCTGTTGTTTCCTTCCCCCAACAGAGAGCTCCACCCCTGGTGGGCCGCTGGGTGCCCTTTGCCGCTGTGGCGGCTGCTAACTGTGCCAACATTCCAATGATGCGACAGCAGTGAGTATGGGGATCCCTTTTCCTCCCTACAAACCACAAGGTTGGTGGGTCAAGGGTAGGAAACCAAGACAGTGAGTGGGTGGCTTCTGGGGACAGATGTGGGTATGGGGAGGGCTGCTGGGCTACACCTCTGAAGGGTCCCAAAGGACAGGTTGCTCCAAGGGTGATGGCCGCAGGAGTGGCGGGTGACTTAAGTTTAATCTGTGATGAGTGTTGTGGGAGTCATTGTTTGGATGGTGTGGGATGGCGGGGAGTAGGGTGGACCTTTGAGGGTTTATATGAGATCATGTCCTTTCAACTGCAACTGTATTTAAGTTGTGAACTCTGCCTACTTCCAAAGCCCTGGGGATGGCTTACAGAATGAAATGTAGCAGAGCGAGGTGTCCAAAGATAGAACAGAGCCAAGAAACTTTGAAAGAAGCCAGAGGAGTAGATAGATGTTTTCCAGGCACCCAGCTCTAAGCTTCACAGCAGGAAAGGTAAAAGGAGAAACCCGTGTGTCTTGCAGTTCTTGTTTTTTGGCTAGAGAAAGCATAGCTGTTCCCCTGTTGTCAAACCTAATGATGTAGTATACTTCACGCTCTCCCGATAGTGCCTGGGAGGTATCACGTGCTGCCTAAGTGTTCGCTGTTGCTGCTCCTGTCATCCGCATTGCCTTCATCACATCACCAGTATATCCGAGCCACAACTTCTTGGGACTGCTAGCAAATGGGAACTTGTCACAACAGCCCTTGCAGAAGGAGCACACCACCAGAATAGTCATGCATACACATTATTCCTCTCCTCTTTCCCTCCCCCGTCCAGGTGCTCCTTCCTGACCAAGGAAGGAGCCCTCGCCACCCACCTGGTCTGGGGTTGAGTGCTGTCAGGCGTGGACCAAGCACTTTGCAGGCATTGTCCCCTTTAATCGTCACCAATCCTTTGAAGTGGGTGCCATGATTAGCCCCATTTTGCAGATGAGGATAACTGAATCTTTAGAAGGATCAGGGAATTTGCTCAAGTTCAGAAACATACTCTGCCATTTCAGGATTCAGCCTAGGCAGTCTGAGCCCAGGCCTAGCTCTCTTAGCCATGGCCCTAGATCACTTCTGAGATGCCACTCACTGGAATGCACAAGGAAGATCAAAGGGCCAGGCTGCAGGAGCTGGCTTCCTAGAGCTTGAGTGCGCTGACCTTGGTCCCCTGGTGTGTCCCATCGTTGGCGGGCTTCCAGCACCCCTTTCCCAAGTCCAGCAACTCCTGTCTATGTTTAGGGAACTCATCCAGGGCATCTGCGTGAAGGACAGGAATCACAATGAGATCGGTCATTCCCGGGTGAGCAGAGGCATCCCTTTGGGGTGGGAGGAGGGAATTCTGTCTTATACCCTGCCCTGTTTTTAGTAGTCAGAGCAGGCCCGGGTTCTGTTATAGGATCCCCCTGATTCCATTCTCATTCCCCTGGATTTCCCTACATTTCTTGTTCAGAACAGGCTTGTCATGTCTTTTCTCTATCATTTCTGGTCCTGAAACCATAAAAGTCTAGCTAGGTGAGAGAGGGTTGGGTGAGGACACAGCCTCTGGTGGATCCATCCCTTCCCCTTTACCAGCTCAGACTTGACCCTGACCCTTGACCCCACCCTCTGGTACAGCCCATGGATACTGGATAAGGTCATTCCTGACAACTTACTCTTTTCTGCCCTTAGAGAGCTGCAGCCATAGGCATCACCCAAGTGGTTATTTCTCGGATCACCATGGCAGCCCCTGGCATGAGTAAGATAGAGAAGCCCTCCCGTCCCTGGGGACCCTGGAACAAGTCCTGGAGGCCTCAGCCACATTTAGCTTTTGCGGGGGGCGGGGGGGGGGGCAGCCTCTACAGCCAAGCTTCTCAAACTGGCTTTTCCCACCACAATAAAGAAATGATAATTCTGTGATGCGATAGAGATTGTAGCTAATGCTACAGTGGTAATCAGATTACAATGTATAAATGTATCAACTCCACATGTTGTATATCTTACATCTACATAGTGCTGAACGCAGAAACTCATGAGAGAACCACACTGTAGTTCTGGGAACATCAGTTAATTAAGTTCTTTTCATTCCATAAATATTCCTTAAGTATCTTCAGTGTGCTGGACACAGTGCAGGGTGCCAGGAAGACAGTGGTAAAGAAAATAAATCCCCTGCCCTGGTTTTGCTCCTAGCAGGGGTATGTTACAGAGTAGGATACGAGACTTGTTTGCATGAGCCTTCAAAGATTTGAACTTTGAGAAGGATGCTTTGGGCCTGCGGTACATGTCCTATTATAGGTGTGCAGGTGGAAAAGTCTGGGAAGCACCCTTCTGCTAGGACTTGGGGGACAGGTGGGGGGGGCCATGCCTACATAGTCTTCCATTCCAAAAGTGTTTTCTGGAACATCAGGGGAGGTGGGTCCCTGATCTGATTTTGGAGAGGGGTCTTGGGAAGAGTCTGACAGCCCTCCTCCCTGCTTTTCCCTGGTCTCTTCCAGTCTTGCTCCCAGTCATCATGGAAAGGCTGGAGAAGCTGCATTTCATGAAGGTGAGTGAGGTCCTCTTTTGCATCTTCCTTGCCCAGAGCCCCCAGCCATACCCACACTTCAGAGCTCCTGATCCTCCTCCTCCCCTCTAGTTACTGGCCTTTGTCTCGCTCAAGTAGGGCCCGTGCCAGTCCCTACCAGCTGCCCGCTTTAGATGCCATGGCCGCTTGCTTGGCGTCGTCTGCAGAGAGCAAGAGGGGCCCCCTCCTCCTCCCCTTCACGGCTAGGAGTTTTGTGCCTGTGGGTGTCTAGCTGGCCGGTCAGGGGTAGGGCCAGCGTGGAATTCGTGTTAGGATCTCTAAGTCTCATGTGGGTCTTTCCTTCGATTTTGTGCAGAAAGTCAAGGTCCTGCATGGCCCATTGCAAGTTCTGCTGTCTGGCTGCTTGTGAGTAACGTGTTTTCTTGGTTGGGTTCTGTGGTAGCTGGGGCCCCTAAGACCCGTCTTCTTGTGTTGCCCATGTTGGAGAACATGTACTCTTTTCCCTGACTTCCATAGTGCCCGAGCTCAGGACGCCCATGGGCCATCTGGAGAGTTCTCGCCCCATCTTTGTTGAGGGCATCAGGCTGGGTAGGCACTGCGCACATCCGCATGGAGAGCGGAGTGCTTGGGCGCCCTCCTATCCCGGCGTGTCCTCTGACCTTCAGACTAGAGAAGAGACGAAAACCACAATACAGCCCCACCACAAAAAAAGACATGATCATTCTAGGGGCGCCCGGCTGGCTCAGTTGGTAGGGCATGCGACTCTTGATTTCAGGGTTGTGAGTTCGAGCCCCATGTTGGGGGTAGAGATTACTTAAAAATAAAAAATTAAAAAAAAACAATAACAATAAAGAAAGAAATGATAATTCTGTGACAGTGGCAGAGGTGTTAGCTGATCACCCGGTAGTCCCATGGCAGCGTATTGCTCTATCAGATCAGCAGGCTGTACGCCTAACCTGTACACGATGCTGTGCACCCTCTATATCTCAATGTAAATAAACTAAGTATATAAATAAATATGCTGAGACGTAAAAAACATGAGGGGACAGCCCAGGGCTGTCAAGCGTCCCAACCTTGCACAAAAGGAAAACACCACAAGTCACGGCAGCGTGCTTCAGTGCCCGCCAGCGACTGGCCACGTCCTAGCATCAGTCACACTTTGCGAGGCCATGGGGCTAATGACAGCAGTAACCACCAACACGTGTGGAGTGTGTCCTGTGTGTCCCCACTGTGCTCATGCTGCACATCTATCATTTCACTTAAGCCCCTCAGCCCCGGAGGTCTAGGTCCTGTCATAATCTCCTTCTACGCAGAGGAACCCGAGGCTTAGTGAGAGGAGACTTGCCCAAGGCTCTGTAGCTCGTAAGTGCTGGAGTTGAGGTCAGTGCCCTAGCAGTCTCACACGCCACGCTGCCTTCTGCCAACTGAGTCATCACTGCATGAGTGGTTACCCCGGGCTGAGCGCCATCCCTGGGCCACTTCCTCTGAGCCTCGTGGCAGCCCTGCACATTAGACACTCTTGTTGTCCCTCTGCTGGCTCAGGGCTCACTCGCCCGAGATCACACAGCGAGTGAGTAGCCGAGCTGGGATCCGAAGCCTGGTCTGTCAGATTCCCATGTGCTGTAAGAGAGGGCCCTGGCCCGGAAGCATCCGAGGACCTTAGAAATGCTCTCAAGCCCTTCCCCAAGCCTCCTGCATCAGCGTCGCTTTTTAATGAGCTCCTTGAGCTGCTAGTGTTTGCAGTGAGGTTGGAGAAGCTGCCCTGTTCTGTTGTCTCCCAGCCCAGGGTTTGTGGCCGCGGGGGCTGGACCTTGACTTTCATACCCCTTACTGCTTGGTGCTTGTGCTCTTTAGGCTGCTACTTGCACACCCAGTGCCTTCGTTATCTTCACCTGCTTGAAGGACGGGGGGATGGGGGTGAGGAACAGGAGGTGGAGGGGGGCCGATTTCATGCCATGCCAGAATGAATGTCCTGCACTGAGAGACCAGGCGGGCAGTTGCAGGGAGGGGAGCCATGGGGCAGAAAGGAAGGCAGGATAGTGAATGGGCATCTCCCTACTTCCTTCGGGGGGCTCAGAGATGGGTGTGAGCAGGCCTGTGGGGAGATGCCCCTCACGCTTTGTTTCTCCTTTCTTCCAGCCTCATCTTCATGGTACCAGTGGCTTGTGGGCTCTTCCCACAGAAATGGTAAGAGTTCTTTGTGCCTCACTTTATCAAATGCCTGTCCTTGCTCTCCCTGACCTGCCTGCTTTCCTGAAGGAGACAAGGAGGGGCAGGAAGCGCAGCATTTGTCCAAGGACAAGTACCTATCAGCCTAAACTCTGGGCCTCTTAACCCTGGGTGAATGGTAAACCAAAACAGATCTCTAAGGGGCGGAGGGATGAGTTGCTCCCTCCCAGTGGAGTAAGGGCTGCCCTGGAGAGAAGTGGGGGAGCAACAAGAGACTTTCTGTTCCTGCTGCTTAGGTTATTAGGTACATCCTCCCTCGCTGGATCTGGTCCTTGAAATTGAACAGAGGGATAGGTACTTATTCTGGCTTGTGTTTGCTTGGGGACAGATGACTTGGACCTCTCTACTTCCCTTGTATGCCCTGGCAGGGAAGGGGTATGCGAAGCAATGATGGAAAAGGGAAACAAAGCATCAGACTGGGGGAGGGGAGAGGACGAGCTCCAGGAGACCAGGTGCAGCTTGGATGTACACCAAGAAGGTGCCAGGTTCCCCTGCCTTCGTACTTGTATTCCAGTGTCATCTGCAGACATCTCCTGTGTTCCAAGCACTGTGCTTATAATCTTACAGAGAAGATGGAAGTTTAGCACCAGAGAGAATGAAGTTAGGCCTGAGTAGCAGTAAAAACAACACATTGTGTTGTACAGAGGCCATTCGTTCTGATGGAAAAATCAGGAAGGGCTTCTTGGAGGTGGCATCTGAGTTGGATTTTATCTGATGGTACTTTGCTGCTTGTCCAGTTGGCAGGCTCATAATCCCCTTATTTTCTCTTCTCAGTGAACTGTCAGTTTCTTATTTGGAACCAGAACTCCAAGACACCATCAAGGCCAAGTATGGAGAACTTGTGCCTTATGTCTACTTCAATAAGGGCCTCTAAATGCCCCATCCCAGCAAGGACTAGTCTATACCCATATTCACCTTCCTTAGCTGCCTTGTACACCTGTGCCCTCATTTCTTTGCCAACAGGGCCTAAAGGTCAGGGTGGATTTGGGGGGTGGGGAGCCTCATGTTTTTTTACCCAGGCATGGGTTATTGGACTCCAGGGGATAAAAGTGAGCAAGGGGAGGAAAGACCAAGTCTTTTATCTGTCCCCCCCCACCCCCAACCACCATCCCCTGGAGACCGGGAGCTGAGACTTCCTGAGGGAGAAGTTGCTGGAACCTAGGGGAGATAATCAAGCAAACCATTTGGAAAAATTAGGAAATCTTTGGGATTCTAATTCTGGCCAGGACTGGGAAGGAGCCCCTGGGACAAAGGGAAGCTCCCAGCCCTGTTTCTTCTTCCCTTCCTCCTCATCTTGTCTCATGCTACAGAACCTTTTGCCCCTGCAATTCTAGCTAACTCAGGAAGGGAGAGGGAAGAAGTCTGTTGTCACCTTGGGGCTCTTCTCCGTTCTTCCCCATATTCCTCTCCAGTGCCCCCTTATCAGAGTGTCTTTGGGAGTGCTGCTAAACTTGGGTTGATCAAGCACCCACGAGTTCTTAGTGCTAAAAAAAAAGGCCACTGCATGAGGCAACAAAGTTTCATGGTGCTCTAAGCCCTGTGACACTGACTTTGTTCTTCTGTGCTAAAATCATGTCTGATTTTACATCTCTGTGTTTAAAAGATAAATCCACTAACTGTGAGTAAAAATCATATATGTAGGTATTAACAACACATTTTAATGGGTGTATTTTCCTAGCTGCCTCCCTTCCTCAGCCCATTGGGTTAAACACCAAAGACTGGTGCGTACTGAATAGGAAAGGGGAGTTTATTTGGATACCTCTGAGAATTAATCAGTCAGGACCAAAGAGCCTTAAAGGACACACAGCAAAGTACAGCCATTTGCCGTTCCCATCTTGGCTGCTCTAGGTGATTTTTCAGGCTCGGGTCGGGTGGGCATGGAAGGAGACCATTGTGGCTTACCTGGGATCAATGTTTGTATTGAGTTCTGTCTAGTAGAATTTACTGACGATTCAAAGGATATCACTGTGAATCAAATAAATTTCTTGAAAAAGCACAATGAACTGTCTGCAGACTGAGTTAATAAAGCCTGGATGAAAAGCAGGATCTCGTCTCACTTTGGTCTTGGTATGGAAGAGGTTACCACAACGATAAAGGGAACCTGTCTGATGCCTGGAGGCCATTGTTGATTTCCCTTACTACAGAGGAAAAATCCACCTGTCTTTACTGGACACTCCAGAATGGGAACTGTGTTGTTTTAGAGCAGGAGTTGACAAACCATGGCTCAAGGGTCCCAATCCACTTCCTACCCGTTTTTGTGTGCCTGGGAACTAAGAATGTTTTATATTCTTAAAGGGTAAAAAAGAAGAAAAAAAAACCCAAAACAATATGTGACAGAGACTCCCACGTATGTGGCATGCAAAACAAAATATTTGCTCTATTCCCCTACTCTGGAGCAGTGGTTTTTAGAACATGTGTCAGAGTCACGTGGATGGGTTGTTAAAACACAGATTGTGGGTCTAGTTATGTCTCCTGAGGCAAGTGAAACAAAAGCAAAAATAAACTATTGGTACTACATCAGAATAAAAAGTTTCTGCACAGCCAAAGAAACAACAAAACTAAAAGACAATTACTTAATGAGAGAAGATATTTGCAGATGACATCTGATAAAGGGTTAGTATCCAAAATACATAAAGAACTTATTACAACTCAACACACAAGAAAAGCAAATAATCCAATTTAAAAATGAACAGAAAAGGCATACTGTTTGGTTCTGTTGGTAGAGCATGTGACTCTTTTATCTTGGGGTCGTGAGTTCGAGCCCCACATTGGGTATGGAGATTAACAAAAAATAAAATTTTGAAAAACGGGCAGAAACATGAATAGACATTTCTCCAAAGACGACATACAGATGGCCAACAGACACATGAAAAGATGCCCAACATCATTTCTCATTAAGAAAATGCAAATCAAAACCACAATGAGTTAATACCTCAAACCTGTTAGAATGGCTAAAATCAAAAATAGGAGAAAAATGTGTTGGCGAGGATGTGGGGAAAAAGGAACTCTCTTGCACTGTTGCTGGGAATGCAGTCAGAGAAAGAGAAATACCATATGATTTCACTCATGTGGTATTGAAGAACCAAAATCAACAAACAACAAAAAAAGAGACAAACCAAAAAAAGCCAGATTCTTAACTATAGAGAACAAACTGATGGTTACCAGAGGGGCGGTGGGTGGGGGGATGGGTGAAATAGGTGATGGGGATTAAGCGGGCACTTATGGGGAGCACTGAGTAATGTATAGAATTATTGAGTCACTGTGTTGTATACCTGAAACTAAGAACACTGTATGTTAACTACACTGGAATTAAAAAGAAAAAAACAAAAACAAAAACAGATTGTGGGGCCCCATCCCCAGAATTTCTTATTATGTAGGTCTGGGGTGGAGCCTGAGAATGTGCATTTCTAGTAATTGTCCAGTGATGTGGTTTCTGTTGGTCTGGGGAGCACACTTCAAGGACCACTGCTCTAAAGAAAAAGGGCCTCTTCCTTGAGGCCAAAGTACTAGCTGGAATTTAATTTTTCCCATTTTTTTCAAAACTAAAATAGAATTCATATAAGTTCATCTTTTTAATGTGTACATTTCAGGAGCCCCTGGGTGGCTCAGTTGGTTAAGCATCTGCCTTCGGCTCAGGTCATGATCCCAGGGTCCTGAGATCAGGCTCCCTGCTTAGGGAGCCTGCTTCTCTGTCTCCCTCTGCCTGCCGCTCACCCTGTCTTGTGCTGTCAAATGAATAAATAAAATCTTTCAGAAAAATAAAGTGTACAATTCAGTGTTTTTCAGTATACTCACAAAGTTGTAATCATCATCACTAGTTCCAGAATATTTTTATTTATTTTATTATTTTTAAAAAAGATTTTATTTATTCATTTGTCAGAGAGAGAGACAGAGCACAAACAGGGGGAGTGGCAGGCAGAGGGAGAGGGAGAAGCAGGCGTCAGCAGGGAGCCTGATCCCAGGCCCCTGGGATCATGACCTGAGCTGAAGGCAGACACTTAACCGACTGAGCCACCCCGGTGTCACATCCAGAATATTTTTATTACTCTCAAAAGAAACTCTGTATCCGGGGCGCCTGGGTGGCTCAGTCGTTGGGCGTTTGCCTTCACCTCAGGTCATGATCCCAGAGTCCTGGGATCGAGCCCCACATCGGGCCCCCTGCTCCGCGGGAAGCCTGCTTCTCCCTCTCCCACTCCCCCTGCTTGTGTTCTTTCTCTCAATGTGTCTCTCTCTGCCAAATAAATAAAAATCTTAAAAAAGAAAGAAAGAAACTCTGTACCCTTTGGCAGTCTCTCCATTCCCTTCATCCCCCGTCCCCTCAAAACCCCTAATCTACTTTCTGCCTCTATAGATTGGCCTATTCTGGACTTTTCATATAAATGAAATCACGCAGTGTGTAGCTTTCTGTGTCTGGCTTCTTTCATTTACTATAATATTTTCAAAGTTTATCCATGCTGTAACATGTGCAATTTGATTTTAACTGATTTCTTAGCAGAAAACTCTGTGTCTTTGAGCTAGTTTTCTTAGAATAGGAGATCTGGCTCAGCTTTGTCCATTTCCAAAGACAGATAGGAGAAACATTACCAGAGCTAGCCAGAGCTTGCAAGCATCCACACTGATGTTCTTTCAAGAATTGACAACCTTCTTCTTTCCTTCCCAGCTCCTTAAACCTCCTGACATTCCTCCTCCCTGTATAGACAATGGCTCTTTTGGAAAAGTCTGAAGTATGTGGTGGCTACAGTTTAGAGGCACTTCAAAAAGCACTCATTCAAATTGCATCTCAGCTCCATTTTGTAAGACCTCTCTGCTTTCTTTGAGTTGGCACCTGTGGGATGTGGAAAGCGAGGTGGTTAGGGTGACTCAAATGCCTTCGTGTGGGAAGTGCTAATCCAGACTGGGCAGGGTTTAGTGTTTGTCCCATCCAGTGGCTTAGTTCGAGCTCTCAGGTAAAGAAAGAAAGGGAAGTTAAGATAAAATCTCCAGTGTTTGTTGAACTGAAATTATTAGGGTTTCCTAATGATGATGGTACCCGGCTTTTATAAAGGAGGACTTACAAAACCTTGAGGCCAGGACTGAGACCCTGTGCTATGAAAATAATTTGGCCCTTGCCTAATACTGAATCTTTATTTCTTCCCTAGGGAGCTTGATTGTGGTATGGATGAATTTCTAAGACATTTGAGATCAAAAATACTTGTCACCTTTTGTAACACTCGGGAAAACAAGATCAAGAAGAGGCAGAACTATGGACGTTCTTAAGTAGAGGGCAGAACCAGTTTCTTCACTTTTTCCTACTTTGCCACCATTTAAGCCAAAAACAAACTCCCTCTGGGCTCAGCCATGGGCTAGACTAGGCCAACCTGCAAAATGCTTTGGCAGGATTTTGAGAGGAAATTGGCAGCTACAGGCACCTGGCTTCTCTGGCATGGGTCTTCATTTGTTCATTTATTTTACCAACATTGTTGGGCTCATGGTTGGGCCTTGTATAGGATGTTGTAGGGATTTTTCAAAAGAAAAAAAAGAGTAAGACGGTGTGCTATACAAAAAACTGCAAATTTAGTGGGAGGGGCCAGCCAGGCAGATACTACAGATCAGATACAGTGTGTGTTAGTGTTATGAGGATCCAGAAGAAGAAACAAGGGAGGGGATGGGAACTAGGAGTTTATAAACAGAGAACTATATGTGCAGTGTGTACTATAGCACAGCACACTGGGGATCTCTTGAGTGTTTGGTGTAAGTGGAATGTGTGGGAAAATGTAGTGGCAGAAGATGAGATAAAAAGAAGTAAGCAGGGATCAGGACACGAGAGAACCATACTGAGTAGTTCGGACTATATATTCCGTAGGTAGTTTAAGTATTTTAAGAGGGAAAGCCTTAAGACAATGATGTTTGGTTTTATGTCGTAGAGCACCCTTGCTGTGGAGTGCGGCAGTAATTGAGAGGGAAGAATTGGCAACTAGGGCCAGCAGGGAGACCATTTTTATTTAGCAAGAAGATGAGAATATGGAGGGAAACAATGGGAGTGAATTTCAGGGCTGTTTCTGAGGTACCGTCAATAGAATTATGTTCCTGGAACTTGGGGCGACACAGCACCGTGCCTCAGGTAAAGGTACTATTTCAGAGAAATCAAATTGACCTAAGCTCCCACTTTGAGACAAGGAGAGGGACCCTGGTACCAGGGCTGCGCTTCAAAACAAAAGACGTCAAAAGATTTTTAGATTGCAGTTGTTTTCTTCTTAAGGAGCGCCCGGTTACCTTCTAAAACAACTTCTTTTCCAATACTCTTTAGAATCACAATACTTCTCTTTCTTTGCTAAAGTGTAGAAATCTAGTACTTCCGCCACGCTCAAGATGGCTGCACCCGAATTAGACTTTTCAATGCTCGTACCAGATGGCCCCGCCCCCCATCGGAGCTACTTCCGCCACTCTCTGTGGCGTGGGACGCATCTACACCGCCGTGCAGCACTCAAGATGGCCCGGCTTCCTCCCACTTTTCATTGGCTGGATCCCCCTGGTCTTCCGTCTTCATGGGGGGCGGGACTTCTATTTGATCGACAGCTATTTTGGTCAATGGACAAAGGGCAGGGGCCCACGAAGCGCTGGAACTGGAGAGCCTGCCCAGTGTGTGGGAGGGTGTTTGGGCTGGGGCGGGGTGGAGCAGAGCCGGAAGCGGGAGGGGAGAGTGAAACAGGAAAAGAAGGGAAGAAGGCAGAAGAGGGAAGAGGAGGAGAGGGAGGAGGAGGAGGGAGGTGGCGGCGCCGTGGCGGAGGAGCAGGAGCAGGAGGGGGATGGAGAGGAGAAGGCTCCTGGGTGGCATGGCGCTCCTGCTCCTCCAGGCGCTGCCCAGCCCCCTGTCAGCCAGGGCTGAACCCCCGCAGGTAAGGGGGAGGGGGCGTCCGGGCCAGCCTGGGGGCCTGGGGGTCGTCGAGGCCTGGCTGGAGGGGGCTGAAGACGGCGGCGCTGCCTGGCTGGAGGGGCAGAAGGAGTGTTGTTGCCAAGAGTTGAGGGGTCCCGAGAGGGGCTCCCATGCCTGGAGTGGACAGGATCTAAGGGGGCGTCGGTGTTTAGCTTAGGGACACCTGTTTTGGTGTCAGGGAAGTGGCAGAGGCGCGGTGCCCAGCTAGTGAGGGGCCCTTTGAGAGGGCAGTTAGGTCAGGTGGGCTGGGATGACTGTGACTGGATAGTGGTGCGAAGCCGAGGCACGGGGGCGGGGGGCGCATTCGTGCCCCCCCGTGAAGCAGGTCTCCAAGGCAGTGATGCAGTGTGTACGCGTTTGCGGGTAGGGGTACGTGGGTTATTGAGCTGGCCTGAGAGGGAGGAGGGGCAGAGAAGGTATTTATTTCAAGCTGGACAGGGAAAAGTTCCGAGGGCATCTTGGCTCCATTTTTAATGTGTTGGAGGCAAGAGGTTGGAGGCCGGACTCTTGGAAGGCCTGTGGGATGGAGTAGATCGGGACCCCTCAGGAGGAGGGCACGCTTGAGCTATAACAAACTCTTGCTGTAAGGCTGGCTGGCTTGGGAGAGCCAGCCACTGATGCTGATCTAGGCCAGTTCAGGGCTTTTGAGCAAAGGGTGGTGCTGATGCCAATAATGGGCAGTAAATGGAGCACCCCAGCTTTTCTTGCTGGGTGGCTTGCTTTTTATCCAGGCAGAGAAGCTTGCTTGTGCTGATTCCAGCTCCAGTTGGCATTTCGAAACCCTAATGGGAGCGTTACTCCTGGTGCCAAGTTGGGTGGGGTACAGTAGGGGGAATCACCCCTCCTTCCCTTGCATTTGGCAGGGCTTTACCATTCTATTTTCTTCACTTTCTGTTCTCTTCCCTGTCTTTTCAGAAGGGAATAGACACACACACTCACTTTCACACACGGCATGATGATGGCAGGGTCTATACAGCTTAGCACTTGAACTTTGCGTTGTGATCAAGAGTAGAAGCAGAGTGCCAGCAAAAATACTTATCTTTTCCTTAGGAGTTTATGGGCTGCCTTTTTACATATGCATCTTATTTTGCCCCCTAGTATCCTTTATTTTAAAAATTAATTAGTTTTTAAAATGGGATGAAATTCATATAATAGAAACCATTTAAAACCCTTTTACCATTTCAAAGTGAACAATTCAGTCGTGTTTAGTACATTCACAATGTTGTGCAACCACTACATCTAGTTCCAAACATTTCATCACTTCAAAAGAAACCCCCCTACCCTTTAAGCAGTTCCTCCCTGATTTCCCTTTCCCCCAGCTCCTAGCAGCCACCAATCTGTTTTCTGTCTCTGTGGATTTACCTATTCAGGATATTGCATATAAATGGAATCCTACGATTTGTGGTATTTTGTGTCTGTCTTCTTTCCCTTAACGTAATGTTTTTGAGATTCATCCACATTGTAGCATATACCAGTACTTCATTCCTTTTTTGGTGGCTGAATAATCTACTGTATGGCTATACCACAATTTGTTATTTATCTGTTTACCCCCCCAGAATCTGTTTATGTATATTTGAAATAACATGTGAAAGGAATAGGGCTCATTTTCTGGCCCAGTATATTCCTTTTCCTAGGGCTGGACCCTTCCATTTTAGCGTTTGTTGGGGATCTTTTCCTAGTTAAAATCATAAACTGGCAGGAGAAATAAATTTTATTTATTGGAAAAGTCAGAACCCTTAGGACTGATAAGGTTAAGAAGTACAGATGTTGGGGCATGTGGGTGGCTCAGTCGGTTGGGCCTCTGGCTCTTGATTTCAGCTCGGGTCCTGGGATTGAGCCCCGCGTCCGGTTCCTCACTCAGTGGCAAGTCTGCTGGAGATTCTTTCTCTCCCTCTGCCCCTCTTCCCCCTGCTCACTTACTGTCTCTCTAAATAAATAAGTCTTAAAAAAAAAAGTGTAGATGTTGACAGAACAAAATATAGAACAAACTGTTGCTTTGCCTTTGCATCTATTTCTACTAAGTAAAGAAAGGTCATTCTCAAGATCCAGTAAATAACACTGCTAGAGGGTTGATTTAAGAACATTGGAGCCTTAGGAGGTCGGTGCCCTGGGCTTGTGGATGTTTCACCCTGATGGAAGAGCAGTGGTGGACCTCCGAGTTGACAGTGGGAACCGGATCCACTTCTTTGGCAGAGGAAGGTTGGAAAGTGGAGGTTGCCGCCAGGTCACGGAAGCCTGGGAGTTGGCGAGAAGATGTGGGAGGGGATCTTCAATGTCATGCCCTAATTGCAGTTTATCGATCATAGGCCGATTTCTTATCATTTCTCTGGCACTTCCAATACTTATTTTGGGGACAGGGTGGCTTTTGTACTTTGTTCCATTTGGGTGGATGCTAGCACTGACCAGCAGCTATTACATGGTTACCATTCCTTCAGAGAAGAGAAAGTTTGGTAATGAGTGGGCTCCCTCTTCCTGACCACCCCCACACCCAGTACTCACATCCCCACCTCATACCCTTGTCTCTTTCTGCCCAGGAGTACTAGATACCTATAGTGAGATTTGTGTTTTGAATTTTAACCTTTGGCATGGAAGTTACTATATAATTATTAACTCTGAATCCACCACTGTTTAGTCAATTTGGTTTTTGTTTTGTTTGGGTTTTTGTTGATTTTTGGCTTGTAGAAATCAGTGAAGAAAGAAAAATTCAGAGACCATTTTGACATAGGATGCACTTCTGGTACTCACTGTCCTTATTTCAACAAGGGGCTTCCAGCTAACTGAATTGAGGGGTACTCGTACTCATTCCGTATTGAACATGGTGTGGATGATTTACTGTGGTTTTTTTCCCTTGAAATGCCTCTATCAAATACAGCCTTTTTATACATATGCATCTAATATCAGAAATATATGGTATTATATATTTACATAATACAGAGTAGCTTGCTTTCCCTGTTACCAGCTCTCCCCTGGAACGGTCATTTCTTTCCATCCTGGCCCAGGAAAGTTACCAGCCTAGCTCACTTCTGAGATTGGGAACTTGGACTTCACTCTTATAGGTTACTACAACTCAGATGTCATTCCTTAAACCCATAAAGAATAGAAAAGTAGTGGACTTGCCAGTGAGGCCTTGACATTTGTCTCTCCTAGTTAAATAATGATTGAGATACATAGAGTTTCTTTCTTTCTGTTGGTGCTTAGATTCAACTAGAACAATCTGACCATGTTACTTAAAATAAAATTTTAGTAGAAATGTCTTTTTCCGTAAAGCCACCCGGCCTAACCTCTAGAGACACAGTCCTTACCTTTCCTCTGCCATGCTTAAAACTTTGAGTTGGATGGGGGCCCTAATTCCTGGTATTTTTTTCTTACCTCGCCCCTCCATAGTATACCCTGTGCCCCCTCCCCTTACTCACCAACTGTGCCCCGGTTTTCAGTCCAGAAGCTCTACTCCGCTCTTCTTTCTTAAAAACAGCATTTCAGTGTGACCACCATCATTTCTTCTTGCAGAATAGTGGGAGATGGAATGTCCAGACTCTTAATTCCCTTTCGCTCATTTTCTTAGTCTGTTTTATATACCAAAGCGAGCAATCCACACCTCAACTCCACACCTCGAGTTTCCGTAAACCCTTTCAGTAGAATTCAGCAAACGTTTACTGAAATGTCCGCTCTACAGCAGGCTGTTACACAGTTGGGCACTGGGAACCCTCAGATGAGGGCACTGAATCCCTGCCCTCAAGGAGCTGGTAATCTGGTAGGAAAGACAGATCGCACACAGATGTGCAAACAAAGGACGGTGGGAGCAATTGATTCTGCTCTGGCCAGGGGAAGGTGGGATTTAGGAAAAGCTTCACAGAAGAGGCATTTGGACCAGGCTTTAAAGCTTGGGAAGGGAAACAAGTCTGTTCCATCCTGGAAAGCGAAAATGGAGGATGTATTTGGAGGTGGCTCGTAGTCTGTGGTGGAAGCTTCCTATGTGGGTGTGTAGAGGAGGGTGGAAGTAGAAGACGCTTGAAAGGTAGACTGGTTAGATGGTAAGGAGGCCTTTTATCCATTCATCTGAGCAGTGCAGTCCAGTAGAACTTTCTGTGATAGCAGAAATGATCTATATCTGCGCTGCCTGTTTTGGTAGTCACTTAGCCACATGTGACTCTTGACACTTGGCATGTGACTAGGATAGATGAGCAACTGAATTTTTAGTGACATTTAGTTTTTTATAACAGCTATATTGAGACATAATTAACATGCCAATAGATTCACCCTTTTAAAGTTATGTAAAATGGCTTTTTAGTTAGTTACAGAATTGTGTACCATCTACTATCTAATTTTATTTTTGTTTTCTTAAGGTTTAATGAATATATTTGAGAGAGAGAGAGCAAGCGAGGGTGGGGGGTGGGGGGAAGAGCCGAGGGAGAGGGACAAGCAGACTCCCCGCTGAGTGCAGAGCCTGATGCAGGGCTCAATCCCACGACCCCGAGATCATGACCTGAGTGGAAATCAAGAGTCAGACGTCTAACCCACTGAGCCACCCAGGCACCCCCGCTATCTAATTTTAGTACGTTTTCATTACCCCAGAAAGAAGCCCCATAGCCATTAGCAGTCGCTCCCCATTCTATCCCCACCTCCTGCAGCCCCTAATCTATTTTTTGTCTCTATGGATTTGCCTATTCTGGACATTCCTTATAAATGGAATCATACACGAGGTGGTCCTCTGTGACTCGCTTCTTTCCCTTAGCATAATGTTTCTGGGATTCGTCCCTGTTGATGTATCAGTACATCATGGCACGTATCAGCATTTCATTCCATTTTGTAGTGAGTTAACATTCACTCCTGTGAATGTGCCACATTTAATTTATGCACTCATCAAATGGTGGACATTTGGGCTCTTTCCACTTTGGGGCTACTTTGAATAACGCTGCTATGAACATGCATGTACAAGTTTTTTGTGTAGACATAAGTTTTCAT